TGAGTACATGGAGAATTGTTAAAACTAACCCCCAGGCATGGGCTTTTAAAAATGATAATTCGCAGCGCTCATCACAGCCGTAGGGTCGGGTTATGTGTTTTTACGCGGTTTTGTGTAGCAGTAAAGTGGTTGACAACCTTGTCGGTTTTTCTTCCACATTTGAGAAGGAGAGCTATCAGCTAAGCTGCTGGAGATGTACCGTAGGTCTCATAAAATTTCAGCTCTCAACAGGATACTGACTGTGCAAATGGAACTTTTGAAATGTCCATACATGGAATATGGGAGTGCATGAAAACTCATTCTGCGCTTGCAGGTCCGTACATGGGCAGTAAGTATTCTAGTACAGCTTTCTACTGAGTCTAACTTCTGAGTTAGAAGGATGCGGGCAATTTTGTAATTTGAAATTTGAAGTATCCGTATACTGTAAGCAGGCTTTTTGAAAGCTAATTTTGTCCTTTTAGAGCTGCACACTCACAGGCCTTACTGACAACGGATGAGTGTCGCGTATTACTAAGGCAAGCGCGAGGAAGTAAACGATTACTTCAGTGACCAACGACGAGGTGATACAAGAGCACAGAATAGATGGCAGGCGATAGGTAGGGGTATGTAGGTCAAAGAATCTAACATAACTGACAACTTGCGTATGGAAGTATTCAATAACAGCACTGAATCGAGATCCATAAGATAGCTTTTCTAGCATTCTTGGTATACTCGATATGCATACAGGTTTAGTAGTATTTAATTTTGCACTGGCGAAAGGGAACGTAACGATAAAGACAGATAAATGTAGTATCAAAGGCGTTCATTTTCGTAAAAACATAGTTCTTGATCACCTTGCAAACTTACGTTAGTGAAAACACCGGGAGGAACATCCAACATTTCTGTTGCGCCATTTTCCTCATCGTCCTCATCAACACCAAGCCGCACCGCACTAAAACATAGCATACTTCATCGAAAATAATTCTGCGGGGAAACAGAACCGAAAAGAAAACCCTGAAGTCCGATTAAAATGGCCCTCAACTCTCATAATCTTAATCATAC